TACAGCGCGGGTATGCGCCTTCACTTTGTACTGTTCATGTAATGTGATCGGAAAACTTCAGGGGAACAAACAGGTTGTAACTGTTATGATGTTTGTGTTGGAGGAATAAGACACTGAGAAAATTGGTTCTTTGTGGTCCTTTCAGGAGCCTGAAGGGCAACCGAGCACTGCGACATCTCCACCCGGACTCGTTTGCCGGACTCCGGAGTCTGCGGTACTTGTAAGTTCTGTTTGTTCGTGTAATTGCACGCCTTTGCATGCAGTCGTGAGGATGAATCTGAGAACGACCGATGTGTACGTGAACAAAGGACGAAAAGATTCAGTAACACTTCAACCGCTGCTGTTGGTGAGCCTTGCGGTTAGACTAACTGTCACACGGACGTGACGGAGAAGTTGCCACCCGAGCACGGCGCTAGGTATGAAACTTACAAGAAGGAAGACTCACAGATACCAGTCAGAGACTGGGGTGTGCACATATAATGCTACCAGCGGACTGGAAGTATACTATGAACGCCGTACTTCTGTTTGACGCCCGTTCTAATATTTGGGAAGGAAAAACTACGTATTGTAACGCTGTCTTGTTCGAGCTTTTTCACGAACTAGACCTCAATTAGAACGACGATGAACTGGGAAATTATACGGAAGGTATACGTTGCTCCGAATACGTATAATGTCTTATTACCAATGCTAATCCTCGAATATACCTTCCTTTTGGAGAAACTTTCTCTAGTTTCTCTTCAATATAATTTATGACAGAAAAGTTTCCCACTTTACGCTCGCCTAAAAACGAAACTTAATGACGTCACATTTGCTTAAACGGAAGTGAGAACCTTAGGAATAAGTTACCATTGGTACAAAACCTACCAACTTTACAACAAGAACTCTGGGTACGCATATTTGCCAAGCACGTCCTTTTCCTGCCTAACAAATTTTCTAAGCCTTGAGACTAATTTATAAATTTGTTTATTTAAGTACTCATTTATTTGCGTTTTATTGTTTTATTTGATAACTAATTTATTTTATACATTTATTTGGAAATCTATTTTATGTATTTATTTATTCTTTCGTTCATTAATATATTTGTTTAGATAATTACACTACTGATGTCACTGGATAAAATAACAGAATTTTACTGCTTTGTATTTGTTACATATTCACTTATGTTTTGTGTCATGTTACAATTTTTTCTATAATGAACTTTTTAAAACAGATATTATGTTTTATTTTGATGTCGTTATGTAAACTAAGGGCCATTTGTACCAATGCAAACCAAAATCAAATGTGACTAAATTTAATCAAAATACTTCGAGTAGTTGCAAAGATGTAGCATGCAGACATGTGTACGGACATGTTCACACTGTGCGCTTTGTACACATTGCTGTTGTCTCGTTTCATGTGCAAGAGACCTGTCAAAGACTTCTATAACACACCTGCCTACCAGCGGGTTGCAGGAGCTGGATGTCCTGTGGCTCGAAGATACTCAAACGCTCAAAGTGTTTCCGTCCATATACAACTTTGAGGTACGCACGTTCAGTTGTTAAATTTTGGCTCAGATCAATCAGCCTGTAAGCATACCTAACCACGTGCTTTATCTATATTTAGTTTTGAAATTGTGAAGCCAACAAGCAGTGCAATTGAGGTAGCATTTACGTAGAACATCATAAGTCCGTCTCAGTTTGATAGAATTTCTGGAAAGAGATCAAATTCGTGTATATTTTAAATAAAAAAAAATAGCCCATTTCTTTATACCTTGCCAATATAACCCTGTGGTGTTGCAGTATATCAAAGAGGCCTGGCTAACATATCCATACCACTGCTGTGCGTTCCACTTCCCAGCCACACACGAT